TAAAATTTCTGCTCTCTAGCTTTTGTGGTTCGCGAGTTAGCAGCTTACCCGTAAAAAACTTTAGCGCGGTCCTACGGGGGTACCAGGCGGAAAAGACCGCCCATTTTGGGGATAGGGGCCCGTACGAGCATACAGATTAAGTCCCCAAAGTTTCAGCCCCATAACTTTTGCCGGTCTCGAGATGAAAAATCGGTACAGACGCGCAGCGCACACACAGACAACCTCTCGTCAATATGCGTTTTTCGCATTGCATTGCTGCAAAAACGCATAAAAACTGTAGGATTAATCGAATTTGCGCGCATCAAAACGAAAAATAACGCAGCAACTAACGATGCATTACTGAGCAAGGGAAATGCATTTTGGGGGAAAATCAATAGAGCTTAGTCATTCTGCCTCACCTTCCTAGCAAATCTTATTTTTAAGCGTTTTGTGCTGTGTAACAGCAGTACAAAACGCATATTGTCACGGGATTGTCTATGTGTGTGTGTTTCCCACATTTTGTCCTGCGCTTTCAACTGGGGAGCCACAAAAGCTAGGCGGCTGAAATTTCAGTGTAGTGTTCCCCGCAAACGGGTGACGCGGCAAATTTCAATTCAGCCTTCCGGTACCCGCGGGTAACACATACGGCCCCGTAAAAGTTTTTCAGGTAAAATCAGTATCTCGAGAACCACGGAAGCTAGGAAGCTGAAACTTTATAAATATGTCCCCTGACTACGTGTGATCCAAATACTTAAATTCAACTTCCTGTACCCGTGGATTACACGTGCGGTCCCATACAAGTTTTCGGGGTAAAATCATCATCTTGGGAACCACAGAAGCTGGGAAGCTGAAATTTTATGCGTATGTCCTCTACCCAAATGCGACCCAGAGAACTTAAACTCAACCTTCCCGTGCCAGCCGGTAACACGCACGGCCTCGTAAATTTTTAGTGGATAAAATCATTATCTCAGGAACCGCGGAGGCTAGGGAGCTGAAATTTTATGGGTATGCTCCTTGACCAACTGTAATCCAGAAAATCTAAATTTAATTTTCTCGTGCGCTTAGGTATCGCGTACAGCCCCGTGAAAGTTTTGGCAGGAAATTATCTTGGGAATCATGAAAGCTAGGAAACTGAAATTTCAGGACGATATTTTCTGCCGCTGCAAGTATTCCACAAACTCAAATATAACTCCCAAGTATGCCGAAGTTTTACGCAAGACCACGTGAGAATTGCGAAAGTCGCTAGCTCGGAAGCCGAAAAATTACAAGGTTGAAATTTGGAGGGATGTTCCCCGTCCATGTTTTCAAATTCAGCTTTCACGTGCCGGCACGTGAAATTTTCAGAGAGAGATTCCTCACTTTAGGAGTCATACAGCATATCTATTGTTTTTCCATATACGACAGTGTAAAACAGTTATATTTTTAGTAAGCAAACGTCCGCTAGAAGGAACTGCGCAAAACGCATGATCGCACCGGTTACCCTGGTGCGTTTCGCTATCTATTTTTCTCTCCTCTCTTTAGCTGCATCATGCTGCATATTTTTAAAACTTTTCCTGATGCAACCGCCACCGTGATGAGCTCCATTTGCAGCACTGAATGAGACTGTATGCAACTTAATGGATCGAAACATTCCGATTCAGTTTTTCCCTTTTTTTTTAAATTTTAATTATTACTTTCGTTTTAGTTACAATCTTTTTCCACAACTTCATAAAATATTCAAATTCCTAGAGTTCGTTCAACATGTATGCGCGTGTCGCAGGACTGAGAGGAACGGATGCGTAATGAAATTTTTGCAATAAAAACACATTAAGGTATTAATGCAATTTAAATTTACACCTACCCTTTGTAGAACAAGATTCTCAGACAAAGTTTCCTCAAGCATACGTTGCAGTCGCCGATTCATATCACGTATATCAGCTGCAGTTTCATCGATACGAACCATTTCAAGCATACGACGGAATCGCAGTCCTAGAAGACGTAGAATATCTCGCACACTCAAAAAATAAAGTTGCCCAAAAACCGATGAATATAAAAAACGAACCAGGTGAGGAAGTGCCAATTTGTGCATTGCGACCGGTGTCTGGTAAAGAACGAATCCACTGAGCAATTACTTCGCTCTTTTGATTCACTTCTTTTCGGAGTAGCGCGTTCTCTTCTTCGACCATATTTAGCTGAAAACTCATCTTCATCATTTAAAGTTCGAAAAAAAAAAAAAAAAAAATCGGGCCGATGAGATGCGTCGCAATTATTGATCAAAATAATTCATGAAAAGAATATCAATAAAAAGGCCGTTGAGGAATGCATTTCAGAACTACTGCAAGGCTTTCGAAGAGGATTCACCTAAACTCATAGGAGGATCCAGGAGGGAGTGAAAATGGGACTTTTGCCCTGCTCCCTCTTCTCCCCCAGCAGCACAGGTACAAATGCTACAGAAGTTAGGGTCTAAAGCTAAAACTGAAGAAAACTCTCTTCCGCACCCCCTCCCCTCCAAAGAGCCTCACCCCTCCTCTCCTCTCCTCAGTCGTCGTCGCACCAGTAGACCCAGTTCCTCCTCTCCTCTCCTCCCCCCCCCCCCCCCCCCCCCCCCCCCCCCCCCCCCCCCCCCCCCCCCCCCCCCCC